TTACATGGTAGATTATGCAACTTCGATCTATTTTTTTTCTTCTCAGCAAAAATTTAGAATTTATTCTCGTCTAGACTTTTCATCTGATTTTTTTTTTCTTTTTTTTTTTCGTTTAGATCTCTGCTTATCAGGTATGGAGAGAATGGTGCTGGAAAGAAAGAAACCGTTTGAAATAATAACTGAGGATATCTTAGAATGAATCTTGAAACGGCTACCTTCGATTGACATTCTTCGAACCAAAGCTGTTTGTTCTTCCTGGAAATCAACCGCTCAAGCACTCCTTTCCTCCAACTCCGACTTGTGCCACTTCAAAATCCCATGGCTTCTGCTTCCCCGAGAAGAATCTAACAGTGGTGGCACCAATGCCTTTGCACGTATCATGAATCTTGAAGAAAACAGGGTTTATAAACTGAAAAGCAGCAGGCCGTCATCTACTCTTGGCCGTCATCACCATATTGGATCATCCCACGGATGGCTGATTATGGCGGACGGAAGAATCAGTTGTCTACCTTTTGAATCCATTCACGCTAGCAACAATCCAACTTCCTCAACTCTATCGTTCTTTCTGGATGGAACCAGATGATTATCTCAGAAGAAAAGATTATTGGGATACGAGTGGCATACCCCCACAATATCTCATGGGAAAAGCTATGCTAACTGGAGAACCCAATCCCAGTGGCAACAACAATTACAGCGTTGTAATTTTGATCTATAACATCGAGAGTTTATATCCATATTTCAAAAACGGACAAGGTCCATGGACCCAACTTGATGGCAATAAGTCATACGCAGATATTATGTGCTATGGAAATCAACTCTTCGCGCTGAGTATTTCGGCTTCTATTGACATTTGGGATTTTGAGGGTCCTTATCCTGGAAAAAGAATATTGGAGATCAGGGATGGATATCTATATCGAAATAAATCTTCATTGAGGGACACAGGAAATCAAATAAGAAATCTGAAAACAAATCCGAATAGATATCCAATTAGGCGAAAGCTTTACTTGGTTGAATTGCAAGGGTAAATTCTGATAGCTCGAAGGTATATGGAGCTTAGACCAGCTGATATTCAGATACCGTACAAAACAAAGCTATTTCAAGTTTATAAGCTGGATTTTGACAGACAAAAGTGGATGAAGGTCGAATCTTTGAGTGATTACTCCTTGTTTTTGGGAGGAAATAATGCGTCTGCAATTATTTCCACTAAAAGATTCTTCGACTTGCAAGGCAAATTCAGTTTATTTCACTGATAATAGGTGGTCTCGAAGAATTTATGGAAATGAGACGATTGGAGGTCATGATACGGGAATATACAGTGTGGAAGATGGAAGCATTGAAGAAATCTATGAAATTGGTGGCGTCACAAGCAACGTTGATCCACCACCTTGGTGTCTTGTTCCCCATCTATCATAAGTCACAGCATTATTCGAAATTCTCTCTCTTTTAATCAACTTTAGAGCATATATAATGGAAGGAAAATGATTTACAAACACTTTCTTTTCAACAACCTCTTTTCATTTGATTAAAATTCATTACATTATATACATTCATTTAACAGAAAATTATTGTTAAAAAAAATTGTATCTATATCATTACCTTAATAAAAAAAAACTTATTTTGATATGTTATGTCAATGTCATGTTATCACAATTACTATTAATTTATATAAACTCATATTTTTATTTAAAAATTAGTGTTTCTTTTTTATATGAAAATAGTGTTTTCTCTGAGGCATTGAATCTCCGGGTTTGCTACTTGCATAGGAACGACAACCAGCATCATTGCTGAATCATGGGGCCGCCAAGACGGTTAAAAAGTGGCACACTCTTCTGGGATTGACAAGTTAATTCTAGAAATGGACTCCTTGCTTGCATGTCAACTGATTCAGGGAAGAAAGGAATTAAAATTTTGGAGCTGCCCCCTGTCCTCTTCGCTGACATCTTTGCTCTGCTGGATGCTTTCTCTCAATGCCTGGTCTTACATACTTTAAGGGAGGGGAACTCATCTGCTGCAGATTTCATGGCTTCTCTAGATCATAATGTTGTCACTGGAACATCAATTTTCCCAGAACAACCAGCTCCCTGCTGGCATGGGCTTTAATTATCTGGATTTTGGCATAAATTTCAAGCTTCGGATCTCAAAAAAAAAAAAGGAAAAATAGAAAAAAAAAGACTATGTTAATTTTCTATGATCTCAAGAAGATAAAAAGAAGAACATTCAAGCAATTAGACGTTCACTCCAGATAGTAGTCTGGTACATTTAATGACTAATTAGTATTCCTTTCAATTCGCCTACAACAATTTAGCTGAATTAGCTAAATTAGTATCCACTGACCAATGTTTAAAGTCTGGTCCAATTATCAACCCGTTTTCCTTATCGAATCTTATTCAACTGGTTGAATTGTTAACAGACTGAGTCAATTAGTTCACCTAATAAATATTATTTAATTTATTTTATCAATTATAAATTATTTTTACTTTAATTGATTTTATTTTTAAAATTGATTGAAATCAATAAATAATTATAATAGGCGTATTAAGCATAAAACGTCTTGATTTTTCGGATTTTTGATTGAAATCATTTTTTTTATTTATTGATCAAATTAATTATTAATTTTTAAAACTTTATTTTCAAAATTTATTAATTTAAAATTAATTTTATTCATTAAATTTATTAAAATATATAATATATTTTTTTAATAGCCATCTAAAACATTAATATCATATTAATTACAAAATTATCTTTTCCTTATATTGTTTTTTTTTTCTAAAATTGCTTAAGATTAATTTTAATTTTAAATTAATTTTATTTAATTTTAATTTTAAACAGATTTCATTCATTTTATTGTTTAAAATAATAATTGATTTTATTTCTAAAATTACTTAAGATTAGTTTTAATTTTAAATTGATTTCATCAATTTCATTATATAAAGTAGTTATTTATTTTATTTTTCAAATTGAATTGATTTGATTTTAAATTAAAATCACTTCCTAATTTGAAATAATAAGTTAATTTCAATTAATTTAAAATTTTTCATTCATTAATTGTGATTTGATTTTAAATGGATTTTACAGTTTAATTATTATATTATCTATTAATTAAATAAATAGAATATAAAAATTAAAGAAAAATAAAAAAAGGGTGAAAATGTAACAAAAAAAAGTTGAATTGGTCGGGTCAACCGAGTTTCAACGAGTTTGACTGGGTCTAAACTAGTTTAATTGGTTTTGAACAAGTTTTGACCAAATTTGATTTCAAACAGGTTATTATGACAAGTTTTGCTTGAAATATACTTTGCTGATGTTACTGCTGAAGCATACAAAGACACTCATATCTTTGAAGTGTATCTCTAGATTTAGATTTGATCCTGTTTACACCATAAATTGCAAAATTTTAAATTAATGCCACGTGTAAAATTTTTATTGGCTGGAGGAGTTTTGAGCCATGTCAGATTCGGATCCTGGGCCCCATGACAGATCAGCACATGTGTTGGCGGCTTCATCTGCTGAGGCTGTGAAGGAAGGTAGCTGATCCTTGATCTTGGCAGCAGATTTTAAACCAACTTTCATGTCTACGCGGAGCTTGTTTCTCTGTTCTGCCAAACTTTTCTCACTTTGCTCCACAAGAGGAACTTGGTTTCTCAACTCTGAAAGCTCGGCTTCAAGGTTAGAGATTTTTTCTTTGAGCCCTTGGACATGTGTAATTTGCGTGACATGAGCCTCCTTTGCTGCCAAGAATTCTTCTTTCTTCTTCAAGACAGCGACAGTGATATCCGCTACAGACTTCCTAACAGAATCTGCAGCCGCTACTTTGCTTTCAAGTACCCGAAATTTTCTGCTAAAATGGGTGTAAATGGTGGTGAAGTCTGCCTAGAATTTTTGTTGAGATGATGATAACTGTGGAGCTCGGCTAAGGATTTGAGCCGCTTCAAAGGCGGTTGGCTGGTTCGACACTTTGCAGAAATGGGAGGGACCACCATCAAGGAGCTCCTGCAAGGTCATGATCGCAAAACTAATCTGCTCCTGAGTAGGAAGGTTGATGTCAAAATCCACTTCTTCAGCAACTGCCTTCCCTTTACCATCTGTGGCAGATCCAGATTTAGCTGGAGTATCCATCAACATGTCCAGCTGAGCAAGGAGTTCATTCTCCAAATCATCATCAATCATGGGCACGTCAGCAGCATCACTCTATAACATGTAAAGACAAAGATCAAAAATGGCAACTGGCAGATATGGTGACAGATTTCAAGATCTAAGCAGATTTCAGAACAGTAAAACAACCTCAATATCATCAACATGAACATGCCTAGCAGGAGAGGCTACGGGTGTAGGGGTATTCTCTTTGTATGGGCTTAGATCGATGAGTTCATTCGGTCTAACTGTTCTAAAGTTTTTGCTTGCTATGCGTGAAGAGAATCTAGAACCCCTAACCTTTGTGGCGGGTGAAGAACCATCACTAGATTTGGTGTGAGGAGCCAGAATTGCTTCCATCACCCTCAGCAGGTATGTCCTCCACAAGAGCTTTCGTGGCAGCAGGACTGAGGGAAACACCTTCTGTTTTGTCAAGTTGCGTCTCAGTTTCCATAACAGAAGAGGACCTCGAGGGAGAGGCCGCCTTTGAAGCGGCTCAAATCCTTAGCCGAGCTCCACAGTTATCATCATCTCAACAAAAATTTTGGACAGACTTCACCACCATCTACACCCATTTCAGCAGAAAATTCAGGGTGCTTGAAAGCAAAGTAGCGGCTGCAGATTCTGTTAGGAAGTCTGTAGCGGATAGCACTGCCGCTGTCTTGAAGAAGAAAGAAGAAAGAAGAATTCTTGGCAGCAAAGGAGGCTCATGTGACGCAAATTACACATGTCTAAAGGCTCAAAATTTGCTCATTCTCTTTTACTACTTTCTTCCCTTCAGATTTTTTGGTGAGCTGTGGAGGGGCCAAAACAGAAATATTCTCCATAACACTAAGAAACCGAGGATGAAAGTAGTCTTGCCACCAACTTTTGTAAAAGGAAGTGCAGCTTGGGTGGAATGGAGGGTCTGGTAGGATCAGTGTCTGCAGAGTGTTTCTGATGTCAGCAAGTTTGGTAACCAAAATCTTTGAATCCCCAATCATGAACCGAAGGGGATAGCTGTAGTTGAAGGAAAATAGTGGCGGGAATGGTATGTCTTGGCAGTACCCTAACTGCCGATAGAATTGGTTCGGTGCATAAAGCTCCATGCCACATCTAGAGTTGAGGGTGTTCAAACTACAGCCAACAAGCAAATCTCGGGAGGTCACACAAACAGACCAAAACGCTCTGAAATCTGGGGAACTAACATCGACCCTGTACCATGAAGGACTGTGAGATCTGCCAAGAAACACAGCAAAGTCTGCATCGGGACGATCAACAGACAGAGAAGCAAAAAACTTGAGGCACTCCTCGAAGTTCTTCTCGTTCTCTACGGCATTCTTGAACATGAAGCCGTAGGTGAGTAGATCCCGAGCTAGAACAGTAGATGAGACAGGAGCTAAGGCTGGAAAATAAGAATACAACCACAGCTGCAAAACCCAAAGCGACTCACCACTAATGACTAAGGGGTGAGCCGCGATGTCTTAACAACTCCTGTATAAATGAGCAAGCAAAAAAGGACACAGAGCCATTTGTTTGCCATGTGCTAAAGCAACCGCTAAGGGAATAAACTCTTTAGTGGGACCTTTACCAGCAGATCAGACTATATATTTGCCAATCAAAGTAAGCAAAAATGAAATATGCTCATCAGCATTGACAGGCTTACTTTTATCATAGGCAGACTTCACGAAAGCTGGATAAGAGGGCTTCAACTCCGCATTGTACTTAATGCCTGGGCAATCCAGTTAACGAGCTGACATCAAAAAGGCTTACAGACATGGCTCCACAGGGAAAATGGAAACAATTGAAAGAGCCAGACCAGAATAACAAAGCCGCACCCAAGACCGGCTTGTCCATGGGGAATCTGCATTTGGTGAGTTGTATAAATTCAAACAAGCCTGCATCTCTCCAAATTTGACCAAAAGCAGGTTCCAGACGGTTTATCCAGTCAGTCCATTCTGATTTTCACCAAACCGGCCAAGCACCAAAAGAGCCAATCCATTTATTCCAGTAAGGTTTTACCTGGAAGGGGAGAAAATGTTCTTTGGGCTGTGGGTAAATGGAGGCAAGAGAGGCCGGTGGATGAGACACAAAATAAGGGCCCAAAATCTGAGATTTTTTGTGAGGAACAAAAGTTTGGTTTGAATGGCATGGCTTTTGTTTTTGGAGTATGCTGTTTATATCATCTTGAAGATTTCGGTTTTGAAAGATTTTAATTAAATCTGGGGGAGGTGACCTTAAGCAAGGAGTGGCCTTTGAACCGGCCATGGAAGCAGATCCGGTGGGCATGGTTTGCTCTTCTCGGTCATGAGCCATGGGAATGATTTTGGCAAGGGAAGGCTGTTCGGTGGAGTCACTGGTCTACCGAACACAAGCCAGGCGGATCTGCATATATAAAAAACAAACAAGAAGGGGTTAGCCGGCAATCACAAAGACAAGGAGGATCCCCGGTAGGGTCCATGGGGCACAAGCAAAGTAAATCTTTGCAAATAAAATGAAAATAACAGTCAACAGCTACCTGTGAAGCAAGAAGAGTCTCCGGGGGAACCACCGAGCAGATCTGGACAAACAAGCAAAGGAAGAGTGTAGCCGGCAGTAGATCTGGAAGTTGGAAGAAGTGGGTTGCTGTTTTGGGTAGATCTAGGGAAGCATATAAGAAAAAAAATGAAACAGAGGGACCGGCTGTGACTGGGAGAAGCTTAGATGTTGCAAGATGGGTAGAAATTTGGAAGCTATTTGGTGGACAAACAAGCAAAGGAAGAGTGCAGCCGGCGGCAAAGCAAAATAAAATGGAAAGGGAGAGTCGGTGATGATGGCCCGTGAAGATGGAGAAGACAAAGTGAATTTTAATTTTTAATTTTCAACTAATCCTTGCTTTTGGGATTTGCTTTTTGAAAATTAAATATTAAAATAGAGGTTGATGGGGCCACGTATGGTGAGAGCAAAAGAAGAGTGCAGCCGGCAATGACCCAAAAAGAAAGTGAGTTTGACTTTTTTTTATTTTTGGATTTTGGAAAATTAAATGAATTTTGAAAGGAGTGGCTGGGTGTTATCTAGAAAATTGCTCCAGTAGATATTTATAAAGTTGCTTTTGAAGAGAATTTGACATGTGGCATAAGTAATTATGGTGTGGGAGACAATTTATTTAATTAAAACACTTGGATTTATCTTAATAAAATCAAGTGTTGGGGCATTATTTACATCATAAATTACAAAATTTTAAATTAATGTCACGTGTAAAATTTTTATTGGCTGGAGGAGTTTTGAGTCATGTCAGATTCAGATCCTGGGTCCAATGATAGATCAGCACATGTGTTGACAAGATAGGAGAGGTAAAGATAATGTTTTATGGAGTAATTATCTTTTTGAAATAGAAAGAGATAATGGCAGCTGGAAGATAGGGGAGGATCACATTTAAAAAGGGGATTTTATCTGATAAAGTCCAGGTGACAAAATCTGAAAGGGGATTAGACTAGGTCAAAAGGTGAGGTGTCCCACTACTCCAACAAACTACCTATGATTGAATAACTGCCGGCACAAAGAAGAACAAAAAGGGAACTTCGGCACAAAGAGGAACAAAAAGGGAACTTCTGCACAAAGAGGAACAAAAAGGGAACTTCTGCACAAAGAGGAACAAAAAGGGAACTTCGGCACAAAGAGGAAGACACAGCCAGCCCTACTTAAACAATTGCAACTTTTCATACTTTGATTTTCTCTGCACATGCTTTCAGATTTCGGTTTTTTCAGCACAGATTTCATTAGAATTAGGTTGTTCTTCCTCATTCTAGTAGACATTTATTCCTATATTCAGTTAAAGCAATTTTCCTTCATGCAATGAACTTCAACCCTCCAAGTTTATGCAAGGTATTGTTTTTCTTTTCATTTGTAATTAAATTTATTCACTGTTCACGCTATTTATTCACTGTTCACATTTAATTTCAGTGCTAATTAGGTTTAAATTTTTAGATCTGCAGCAATTTAATTTCCGAATCTGTCAATAGATTGCACTTTTAATTTTACCATAAGCATGTTTAATTTAATTTGGGAACACTTCTTTCTCGTAAGTTTATTTTAAATTGCAAGTAATTTAGAATAATTAGGATTTGTTAATTGTAAGTCACGGTAGTGTTTAAGTCCTTGGAGTTGTCCAAGGCAGATTTCGTAACCTATTCTGCAGGAAGGTATCCCTCTCTCTTGCAAATTGTCTGAAGGCGCAAATTTCATTTTAATTCAACGTTCTTCCCGTCATCTGCGAAGAAGTCGACCGTGAGGAATGAGAGGGTCGTTGGGAAAGTCCTCCTTTCTTACTTTCAGCAAAGTAAGTGGCACGCCCGTATCAGATTTCACACGTGCGAGGCCACTAGAAGATTTTTGAGGAAACAGATCCCATCCACAGTACAAAGCCCCTTGACTTGATTAAGAGTGGATTTCCTTCGGGCAACCTCCTGTTTGCTGGAGTGGTTTATGGAAAGGACATTTGAGCTAATCATCTTGCTTCTTCTCTCTGTGTCCTGCAGGCTCCTGAGGGCATTGCTGCAAAGGTGTTTAACCCTAACACATTCCTTTCTAATTGAAATATCAGTATGTATTTATTTTTGTTCTATTATGGACAAGGTTGTGGTCTCCATATCATTCACCGTGCCTGAAGCCAAAGCATTGGTTGGCCTGGTACATTTTCTGATGCCTTCTGAAATTTCTTAACTATTTGGTTACCTTGTCAATGATAAAACTACGGATAAACTTTGCTCTAATGTTAAAAGTTAATGCATTGTTCATGTTTACCATTTTCTTGCCACATGAAACTGAGAACACATAACCAACTTAGAATGCTTCAGAAATAATATAGGATATCCAGTTGTCACCCTCAATTATAGTTTTGATATATTGCATATTTTCAAAAAACAAAGAAGTTCATATGGTACAATATTTTGTCCAGATGAATCAACACATTTCCTATTTTTAGAAAGGAAACAAAAAATAGCTTACATGAGAACTACAAGATGTCATTCAATTTCAAGCTAAGTGATAGTTGTTCTCAGATCTATAACACTTCAGGAGATTGGTGGGATGAGGGCTCCTCATATCAAAACGTTTTATGAACCCGTCATTTCCACAGTAATAACCCAAATTCGGATTGCTAATGTCTCTGATAAGGCCACGGACAGCTTGGAGATGACTGCCCAATTTTGTTATTCAAATTTTACCATTGCCGTCGATTTGTACAACAAAAACCTGAAAGAGGAGAGATATTATCATCTTTATTCAACCGATCAAGTGTATATATGTTATCAAGATTAATTACCTTCCCCTTTGAAAGGGAAAACATAATCTTCCTCTCATCAGTCATAACAGCAACTTGGCTTATTGGTAATTGAGTCTCTTGGAGTATTGTTCCCTTTACGTAAGGGTACTTATCCCATAGGGTAAGAAAGTAAGATCCAGAAACTAAGAATCTACCAGTTGGACTGAAAGCAATGCGGTTAATCTGTTCTGTTGCCTCTGCTTCTTCATGTTTGAGAGATCCTATAAAATCCATTCTGGGTACTGTTTTATGACTTATATCAGGCCATAATATGCTGGACCTTTTCGAGCCCCTTTCTCTGCTGAATAGCTTCTGCACCATATTCATGTTGATACAATGCCACTCTTATTTCCTGCAGTGAATCCCATTGGAATGCAACAACATTATCAGTAATTGCACAAATTTGCGGATGGACAAGCATCATAAGCAAAATATTTCTGACCCATACCAGGCTGAGCCATGACCAACACTAGTTTTGTGCAGGTACCTTATTTAATATATTTTATTAAAGAAAACATTTAATTATTCAGTGATTGAGTGACAATTGTTTTCTGTACGCTGGAACAGATATACCTTGCAACTTACTTGTGTCAAGCTAAGACGGAAGTTGATTATGGTTTCCTGAGATCCCATTTGTACACATATACATGCATTTTAAACATATATATTTCAATATTTGAATTAATGTATAGTCATGGTCATATATATGTTGCAACTCTGCCCTGAATAATCCCTAACTAACATTATTAGTTGATTACCTTGTCAAACTGAAGAAGAACCAATTTCCCTGTCTGGGTAATATGCTCCTTACTATATTCACCTTGGTAATCTGAAAAAGCAATCAAGTAGAAGATTAGTGTTAATACACTGCAAATGCAAGTAACTATCCAAAAAAAGTTAAACACAAAATAAACTGAATAAAAGTTGAACACAAAATTCTGGTACAAGACTTGGAATGTGACGAAACATCAAAAAACACAATGAAGTAGAATTCTTAGATCAATGGAGCTGAAAAGGGAAAAATACAACAGACCCAGGTAGATATGCGTTGTCTTGAATCAAAGAAACATGATAAAGTTATACACTGCTCAACCTATGTATTCTCTTAGAACGACTATGAAGATAACGTTGAAAAATCAATAATATTAAACCCTAGGATCTGAATCGGAGCCAATGAAGTGACAATAACGGATAAAGTTCAATTAAAAGATTAAAAAAAAAAAAGAACAGAAGAAACTGACCGATTTCATTTGGAAGAGGCAGCATAGGTCGGGGGGAAGTGGAATGAGGAGCAAGAGAAAGGAGCGTCGGTGTTGTTTTGCCACAAGGAGATGAGTCATCATCGGCATTGTTTTGCCGCAAGGAATCATCGGTTTGGAGATGAGCCATTCCGGAGCGGATGATTCCTTGTGACAAAACAATGCCGATGATGCTCTTTCCTCTTGCTCCCCATTCAGGATTTTGTCGCCGGCAATGGTAAAATTGGAGTAACAAAATTGGGCAGTATCTCCAAGCCGTCAGTGGCCTTATCAGAGACATTAGCAATCCGAATCTGGGTTATTCCTGTGGAAATGACGGGTTCATAAAATGTTTTGATATCAGGAACCCTCATCCCACCAATCTCCTGAAGTGTTACAGATTTGAGAACAGCCCATCACTTAGCTTGAAAGTGAATGGCATCTTGTAGTTCTCATGTGAACTGTATAAAGAATCGACAGCATGTCATTTTGTGCATTACTATGATCAAATAAAAAGAAAATAATATCTGATTCAAAACATAAGCCGAAAGAAAAGATCTAATAGGGAACCATATTATCAATAATAGAAATGCCATGCACAAACACATGCATTGCACGCCAGCTAAGAAACACACTTTTGCAGCAGTCCTTTCCTTAAAGCATAAAAATATAAAACCATTTAACCTCTATGACAGTCACTCACTTCTCTATTAATTTGCCTCTGTTTAGAAAGGTCTTCAGGGACAGGATAGCAATTTGCTCCAAATGCTTCACAAATTTTCAAAATCTTTGTCCTTGCCTGCTCTCCTGAGAAGAAAACTACAAAGACTCTTTTCTCAACCTGTAAAGGCCAATGAAAAAATGTCAGCACAGTTGTATAAAATAAAAAGAGAAAGAATGATACCAAACAAAAAAACAATCATCTAGTCTAGTTAAAAAGATAACAGGTAGCAATGATTAGAGAGCGAAAACCATTTCAGTTGACATTGGATCCTACACAGTATATAGTCCTAACATAAGGGAAAAAAAAAGGAGGTTCACAAAAGAAGGCAATTGAACCACAGAATCAATTGATACCTGTTCAAGTAATGATGCTGTCTCACCGTAATCATCATTTGAGTATATATTCTCACTTAATTCCACTTCCTCTGCAACAGCATGACCATTACTTGACACAAGAAAACCAGCTGCCTGGAATTTTCCCCAGAAAAAAATATGTAAGAGAGGCATAGAGGACACAAAATGAGAACAGGCCTAATTGCTAAGCTATGAAAAAGATTCACTGTTAAATCAACCTTATGAAACTTAAACTACTGCTTTGAATAAGATCAAGAATCACAAACTGGAACAAAAAAAAAAAAAAAATCTAGATGTAATTAACATATTGCAATAAAAGTCAAGAATATACCTTTTGCAATACCATTTTGAATGCCAGCAGCTCATTATATGTTCACCGTGGTTTTTCACTGTTAGAGTTTATTTCAATCAGCTCATGCTCATGCTCAACAAGTTGCAGCTGAAATGGAAAGAAATACAACCACATCAGACAGGCTTATATGAATTTCAAGCAATTGCATGTGCTGGCACAAAAATAAATAAATAAGAAGGAAAATAACAAGTCAGCCCAAAAGGAGAAGAAAAAAATGACTGGTGAGGAGTACAAGAGCATGAGTAGATAATTGAACCTCTAATTCCCCCAGTTCAACATCTGGCTCCAAATTAGGAGGTGCTGAAGACAGCAGACCAGCTTTATTGATTTGATCTTTGAAAAACCGAAGCTTTCTTGACATCTCTCCACACCGCTTTACCTGTTAAAACTACTCATTTTTACATTATTCTCCCAAAAGAAAAAAAAAATCTGAAAAAAAGTTATTGAGATCAATGTCTTACAACTAAACCTGGTCACCATCACTCTTAACAGTGATAATAAAATAAACACGGAATGGGAATCATATTCAATTTAATTCACCAGAAAACCAGAGTGTGTAATACAATGAATTATCCAAGGAAAGCATATTGTATACAACTGGCAACTTCTAATGTTTCTTTCCTACCAGACACTAAACTAAATTAACAATTCAAATTATCTCCTACTATTATGTTACGGCTGGACATACCAACAGAATCACGAACTATCTATTTCTGGCAAAAGAAATAGATTTCATTTATAGGGCTGGGGATATACCTGATTAACAAATGTAAAAATTAAATAAACAAATTCTTTGTGACACTATGCAGGAATTATCAAGTTATTGATTATCCTTAAACCAAACTTCTAGGGATAATTTTCAGTGCACTGGCCCATGTTCATAAGCAATTGAATTTGCATATAATAAAATATTATAAATCCATGAAAACAGAAGGTTTCTACCAAGGAAAGAAAACACTTGCACTGTGTAAAATAATTCTAAAAATGAACATCTCTTCTTGCGTATTGCGACCATTTGATGATTAACAACATGATAATTCATCCACCTCTATTATGGCACCTCCAAGTTCCTTTGCTAGCCATATATAGTTATGAAAACCGAAACGTAGGCGGTGTTTTGGCCGATTTGCTGCGTCCGATTTGTTTGCGTTATTATCATTTTCTTTGTCAACCGACGCACCCTCTATTAGTATTAGATGAGTTCAGTTTTTCTGTAAAACAGTAGGCAATCTCATTTTCAGATCAAAACTCTCCCAGTATCATACAAAAAGCCTAACGCTGCTCAACCTATGTATTCTCTAAGAACGACTATGAAGATAACCTAGAAAAATCAATAATATTAAACCCTAGGATCTGAATCGGAGCCAATGAAGTGATAATAACGGATTAAATTCAATTAAAAGATGAGAAAAAAAAAAGAAAAAGGAAGAACAGAAGAAACTGACCGATTTCATTTGGAAGAGGCGGCTTAGATCTGGGGAGGTGGAATGGGGAGCAAGAGAAATAGGAAGGAGAGTCGTCGGCGTTGTTGTGCAGCAAGGAATCGTCGGCGCCGGAGATCTCTATCAGGGAGAGATCGTCCTCCGTTTCTTCTTCGCTCTACTTCTGATGGTGTACTCGCCAACCGTAGCAAAATTAAGGGAAGCGAAAAGAGTGTGTAGAGTTTGGGGAGTTTTCGACTGGAAACTGAAACCTGGATGGGAAATTTGAAATGACGTTCAGCGGGAAGTATTGGACAACGATCACGTGATCCGATTTCTCATGGCTTATTTATAATAAATAAATAAATGCCCGTAGGCCACATTTGGACTCTGGAGATGGTTGGACTTGGACCCATTGGGCCCTCAGGGTATTCTCATTCTGTCATTCATCATCTTTTCTGAAATCCTGCTTAAAAAAGCTGAAGGTGGGCCGATAACAGGCCCACTCCCACTGGGAGAGGGAGGAGAACAAACAGATTGAAAACGAAGAAAAATGGGGAAAAACAAAGGTTAACCGCGCCCAGTCGTACTCAAAACAACATCAGATCTCTAAGGTGAATAGCCTCTGCTCGATGGAACAATGTAGGCAAGGGAAGTTGGCAAAACAAATCTGTAACCTCGGGAAAGGGATTTGTTTTGATTGGTTCCTTAACTATTGTATGGAACCAAAATTGGTCCTAGAACTAAAACAATCCTTGATTTGGTCCTTAAAATTTTTAAATTTAACCCTAAGTTGATTTTTCTATACAAAAACAGTTGATGTGTTTTATTATTAACATGATACGTGACTATTAATCAATGGTTTTTTAATTAAAGAACCAATTTAGAGTTACATTTAGAAACTTTAGGGATTAAATCAATAATTTTTTTGGTTTAGGGACTAATTTAGAAATCTATACAATAATTGAGGGACAAAATTGGGGGTTTAACCAAAAACAAAAATTTTTGGCTCTGCCCAATTATTATCGCTTTTATTATTCTTAACCAAATTGTTGGCTCAAATTATTTTTATTTATTTTGTGTAACAAGATAATTGGAATTTCATCTGATAGTGTGAGCGTTTAATGATTTTGGTAACTATTTGAAGAGATAGGAAAAAAAAAAAAAGTATTCACTCCAACGATCAATTGTGTCCTTAATTAATGAAATTATTAACTTTGGAAATAAAGTGTTTTGACACAAACTAGTTAATGATGAATCATTCTTTCTTTTTATCTTGTTCACATTTCAACATGTCTCAATTTCTCATAAATTATTATCTTGTTTGGATGCAAAATTAATGATAGGACTGATGCTGGTGGCAGCAATTTCGTTGGTCTTAAATTGGGACCAAATGTTCTCTAATGCATCTCACAAGGCTGTTAATAAATGCAAGGAGGCCAAAGCTGTAAGTTAGCTTGATTCTTTTGCTCTTGTGTTTGTTGTCCTTCTTTAGGCTCTTCAAGCTGTTTTATTATATTTTATTTAAGGGTTAGTTTAGGTATTCAAGCCTTTTCTCAGTTACTTTTCTCTTAACCTATGATATTTATCCTTTGTAGACTGTCTCCTCGGAGGTGCCATAATAGAGGTGGATGAATTATCATGTTGTTAAGCCTCAAATGGTTGCAATAAACAAGAAGACATGTTCAATTTCTAGCTAGAATTATTTTACACAGATTGAAACGGTGCAAGCGTTTTCTTTCCTTGGTAGAAACCAGTGGCGGGGCTGGGGGGTGCGAGGGGAGACGCTCGCCCCCCCTGAAATTTGAAAATCTTGTAAATTAGTATATGAAAAATTTTTTAATCTCCCCTGAACTTTGAAAATTTTAGTATTTTATCTCCCCGAAAAAAATTTCTGCCTCCGCCCTTGGTAGAAACCTTCTGTTCCCATGAATTTATAATATTTTATTATATGCAGATCCAATTACTTAGAAATATGGGCCAGTACACTGAAATTTATCCCTAAAAGTCTGGTTTAAGGGTAATCAATAACTTGATAATTCCTGCATAATGTCACAAAAATTTTGGTTATTAATATAGTTACCTGGATAGTGATTGAGTGAATCAAACAGTCTGATTTCTTTTCTTTTTTGGTTTCTGGATGACATTTGATGTAAAAGATCTCTCTACCTATTTTCTGTACATTTGTTCTGATGTTATTCTACATTTTGTTGCAACTTGGAATTGAGACTATCCCTGTCGTTAAAGGGTGTTGAGAAAAGTGTTTATTTGCTAAACCTAAAATTTTCTGAACTTAAGTTATTTTAATAAACTTATATTGAAAAAAAACTAAAATAACCTATTTTTAAGGTAAGAGTGGAATTGTTTTTAGCATTGTTTTAAAAATCAGATTGGACCGGTCGGTTAAATCGATCAAAATCGACGAAAACCATTTAGACAAATATAAACCGATAAATCATTCAACCAAACAGTTTAAAACCTTTGGAGAATTCCACGCTAGGCTTTTTCTCAAATTGTATCCTCCACCTTTCTTCTTCCTCTTCATTTGCTGTGGCTCCATGCTAAGCTTTGCTGTGTCCGATTTGTTTGCGTTATTAACATTTTCTTTGTCAACCGACGCACTCTCTCTATTAGCATTAGATTTCAGTTTTTCTGCAAAACAGTAGGCAATCTCGTTTTCAGATCAAAACTCTCCCAGTATCATACAAAAAACCTAACGCTGCTCAACCTATGTATTCTCTAAGAACGACTATGAAGATAACCTAGAAAAATCAATAATATTAAACCCTAGGATCTGAATCGGAGCCAATGAAGTGATAATAGCGGATTAAATTCAATTAAGAGATGAAAAAAAAAAATGGAAGAACAGAAGAAACTGACCGATTTCATTTCGAAGAGGCGGCTTAGGTCTGGAGAAGTGGAATGGGGAGCAAGAGAAATAGGAAGGAGCGTCGTCGGCGTTGTTGTGCAGCAAGGAATCGTCGGCGCCGGAGATCTCTATCAGGGAGAGATCGTCCTCCATTTCTTCTTCGCTCTGCTTCTGATGGTGTAATCGCCAACCGTAGCAAAATTAAGGGAAGCGAAAAGAGTGTGTAAAGAGTTTGGGGAATTTTCGACTGGAAACTGAGATCTGAATGGGAAATTTGAAATGACGTTCAGCGGGAAGTATCAGACAACGAACACGTGATCAGATTTTTCATGGCTTATTTATAAATTGCCCGTAGGCCACATTTGGACTCTGAAGATGGTTGGACTTGGACCCATTGGGCCCTCAGGGTATTCTCAGTCATTTATCATCCTTTCTGAAATCTTGTCTGAAAAGGATGACAGTGGGCCGATAACAAGGCCAGACTCACGGAAAGAGGGTGGAGAACAAACAGATTGAAAAAATGAAAACCCTGGCTCCTCTTTCTTAGAGAAACAAAACCCTAACTTTATAAATAGGAGCTAGGGGCTTTGTAACTCTATAAAAGTTAAATGGAGAGGGAACGATCTAACCCTCATGTACATGGTAGATTATGCACTACAGCTTTTAGAATTTGTTTATCAGAACTTCGATCTATTTTTTTCTTCTCAGCAAAAATTTAGAATTTGTTCTCGTCTAGACTTTCCATCTGATTTTTTTTTTTCTTTCGTTTAGATCTCTGCTTATCAGGTATGGAGAGAATGGTACCGGAAAGAAAGAAACCGTTTGAAATAATAGCTGAGGATATCTTAGAGTCAATCTTGAAACGGCTTCCTTTGATTGACATTCTTCGAGCCAAAGCTGTTTGTTCTAATTGAAATAATAGTTTTGATATATTGCATATTTCATAAAAACAAAGAATTTCATGTAGTGAAATATTATGTCTAGATGAATAAACATATATCCTATTTTTAGAAAGAGAATTGTTTTTTTTTTTTTTTAAAAAAAACTTACTGTTCCTATGTTGTTTAAGATCCTAGAGTCAAAATTGCTGTGTCCACTACATATGCAAGAGAGGACTTTGTGGGTTGGGTTGCCTTGATACACAAACCATCTTTGAGTCAACTAACCCTGTTAGCAGCTTGGGAGCCTAAAGACAAACGAGTTGATCTGCTCCACCAATAGCCAGTACGAGACATTGGAGATCAAGATGCCTTGTCATGCACCTTACAAGGTGCAAGTCATCATACCATATGCTAATCCAATTAGGACCGTCCTAAAGAAAGTTAAGTCATATCTGTCTATCTAGTTATTAACAAACTTGAGTTTTGTTAAGACGTAATGGAAAAGCATTGCAATACAAGGGAAGACAGATTGGTTTTGGACCTAATCCCATTTCTTGTTGGAATATATAAATCTTTTGGTTGTTGCAAGAAGCTAATAATTGCTCCATGTTTGAATATGCTATGCCTTTAATGCAAGCTGTACTTCTGCTAGCTAGATCATGTAGTATGTAAATGTCATCAAGACACTCTAGACCTTCCAACCACCTCAGATCGCAAACTCTGATATATGCATAATTTTTGTAATTTTAGGCTAAGTGATGGGCTGTTCTCAAATCTATAAAACTTCAACAGACTGGTGGGATGAAGGTTCTAGATCTCGAAACGTTTGAAATGTTAAAACATTTACAATCTGAGGAGTAGTTTCCTGAAGTGTTATAGATTTGAGAATAGCCCATCACTTAGCCTGAAAATGAATGGCATCTTGCAGAATCCTGATGACCCTCAATGCATTACTATCTATGGAGAAGATGCATATATCAAAGTTTATGATCTTAGGTGCTTGAAAGGTCTACATTGTATTGATGATGTTTACCTGCCACATGATCTAGCTAACAAAAGTGTTGCTTCCATTAAAGGCATAGCATATTCAAACATGGGGTAACTATTAGTTTCTTGCAACAAGCAAAAGATTGATATGTTCCAACAGGAAATGGGATTAGGTCCAAAACCAATCCCTCTTCCCTTGTATCTCAAACCTTTTCCATTAAATCTCAATGAAGCTCAGGTTTATTAGGGGCACACAGACAGTGACCAAATAGACAAACATGACATAACTTTTTTTGGTCCTAAAGATGAGTATCAGCATGTGGAAAGATTTTCTTTTGTAACAAAAGAGAACTCCATAGGGTTGGTAGCATTGAAAGTGACTTGCACACTGTGTGCATGACAAGGCATCCTCACCCTCAACGTACCATATTTCTATTGGTGGAAAGGATCAAAATGTTTGTTTCTGGGCTCCTAAGCTGCTAATTGGTTGAGTAAAACTGAAGATGGTGTGTATATCAAGGCAATCCAATCCACAAAAGTCCTTCGCTGCATGCTAGTGGACAAGCAATTTTGACTCTGGGTCTTAAATAGAGTTGGAATAGAGTAGGAACAGTTAGGCTTTTTTTTTTTTTTTTCTTCTTTCCTTTCTTAAAAAAAAAGAAATATGTTGATTCATATTGACAAAATATTGCACTATACAAAATTCTTTGTTTTTTGAAAATATGCAATATATCAAAACTATAATTGAGGTGGACAATTGGATATCATGTGCTATTACTGAAGCATCCTAAGTCAGTTATTTGTTCTCAATTTCATGTAGCAAGAAAATGATAAACATGAACAATGCATTTACTTTTATCATTAGAGCAAAGGTGATTGATAGTTTTATCATTGAGGACAAGGTAACACAAAGGTTAAGAAATTTCAGAAAGCATCAGAAAAAATGTACCAGGCCAACCAATGCTTTGGCTTTGAGCAATTTTTGTGCAATGAATGCAAGCCAAGACTTGAACTCTTCTTTGTCCAACTTAGTTTCATTGACCATGTCAATTATGGTGTGGAGCAGTGTGCATGATATAGAGACCACAACCTTGTCCATAATAGAACAAAAACAAACACATTACATAACTCGTAACGAATTAAACTAATATTTCAATTAGAAAGAAATGTGTAATGGCTAAACACCTTTGCAAGGATGTCCTCAAGAGTCTGCAGGACACAGAGAGAAGGAGCAAGATCATCAGCTCAAATGTTCTTTCCATCAACCACTCCAGCAAACTGCAGTTTGCCTAAAGGAAATCCACCCTTAATAAGTCAAAAAGTGTTTTATACCGTGGATGGGATCAAATCTAAATCCAGAGGCACACTTCAAATATGTGAGTGTCTTTGTATGCTTCACCAGTAACATCAGCAAAGTATATCTCAAGCAACACCTGCAGCCAGATAGAGAATATTCTAGCTCTAAGTCAAAATGAGTAAATGCTTCCAATTGGTGAAATTCAGGCCAAGGGTGGACTCATCAAACTGAATCTAGATTGCACCTGCTGCCAGTTCAGCAATAACTTCCTTGCCGGGCTATTATAATTAGAAAGTATGAGATGTGGTATTTTAAGAACTCCATGCCTTTTGGCCACAAAAAACCACCACGCCTGGAGCAGTTGGTTTGCCCACTGCCTTAAAGAGGGAGACACCCCCACGTTCAATGTTCCAAACCCAGGATCCTCCCCCTTCCCACTCAACAAAAGAATTGAAAGACAATGAAATAATTGATTAACAATAATAATAATAAAATAATAAATAACTAGCATTTATGAACTGAACCTCTAATAAAAATTAGGAGAAAAACACCCAAAC